CCAGGTACCCATGTTCGGGTGGAGTATTACGTTATTCAAAATTTGATGGCTCTAAGTACCGTCGTTTTCTTACAGTGCGAGAAACATTCATACATTCATGCAGATTCTTCATTATTTAATTTCTTTAAATATAAGACAGGGCGATAATATTTGAGGGAAAAATTTCAAAAGTGATTCGCCGTTTACAGTGAAACATCACAAAATGCCTTGGGCTTTGAGAAAAAATAGAAGCACATTGGCAAACTGCATTAAAGGGCAAAAATGCCAAAATCCAATGAAAAATGAATTTTCATTTTTCGCTGCATCATGGTTAGAGGGTTGGTGCAACGAAAGAAGTAAAACATTCAGTGTGTTTCTGAACCAAGAAAAACGCAAATTAACGTTTAATACTTAAAATAATATCAGAAAATCAATCAAAATTATCTGTGTCTTTATCCGTTCAATCCCTACAGGCAGTAATGTGTAGTACACTAGACTGATAAAGATTACTTTGATTCTAATTCAGAAATCAAGCAACAACGCGGTTTTGCAGCTGAGGATGGTGGTTCGGTAAAACCATCGAAACTAGTCCTGTCAAAATTTTGAAAATATAACGCTGATTTTTGTTGCTTGACTTCTAAATTAGTATTTGTTCGGCGTATTATTGTGTCTTAATTACTTTGATTGTTTTTCTGAGATTACTTTTAAGTATTAAACTTAAAATAATCATAAATATAAATATTTGTGTTCTTTGTTGGTCTTGTATATTTAATACGAATCAAGGAAGTCGCGTGGTATCTATATCAGATTTTATATAAATAATTTCAGTGGGGAAGAGTGGCAGGTAAAGCGTTATGAAAACAGCTATTTATTAATTAAACTAAAACATAGAAATAAGAGAATAAAGAAAGATGAATAATAAAATAATAAATATCTATGTTCTTCGCATTATAGAAAAATAGAGCACCTAGAGCCACCCAATTTGGAACGCACGTCTCCTCCGCCCGAACATGGGCACCTCGAATCCCGAATGTTTAGCCCAAAGAGCTACTAGTCTCGAAATAGGATTTATAAAATAGGACTATAAACGGCGTACTACTTTTCAAATTGTTGCCACCAAATATTATTTCATTATACTTTTTTAGAAAAATTAAATAATGAAGAATCTGGATGTATGTATGTATGTATGATCCTCGCAATGTGAAAAACGACGGAAGCCAGAGCAGTCAAATTTTGAATAATGTAGTCCTCTACCGATTTCGAATTTATTTTATTATTTATTTCATAAGATGTAAAATTTTTAATTAACAAACTGAAAGATTTGAAAGCGAACAGTGGCAACACTATTCGAAATAAAACATTTGTATCGGTTACGTGGTCAGAGCGGACAGTGGCTACAGCGGACACGTGAGGGTAGCTGCGTGGGCAGAGCGGACGTTCTTGCACCTATTGTGTTGTGTCCCTAATCAGTCACATGTCATCTATTGTGTAGTTTCGAGCTTTGCACCTGCTGTAGAGATAAGCCGATACTTTTAGGAGAAAAGGTTTTACTCATTTTCTTAGTAGATGTTTGATTCTTATATATAAAAAAAGGTATTCCGAATAAGCAACTAAACACAACTTCAATCTTTTAAGACAACCATTTAAAAAATTTTTTCTTATTTTAACAATTACAACGGTAAAGAAAAAAACTGATAACCATGGTAAAACTTTGCGACTGCGCAGATCAACGAGATATATACTGGTATATATGTCCTGTTATATGAAGTCGTTGGCGCAGATAGTCTCGCAAACGATGTGTTAGCGTCGCAGGAAACAAATACAAAAATGTTTAATACCTTATGAAATATGTATGTCGTTTTATAGCGTCGAAAAAATCTGTGATGGAAGCCATAGCCATTTGAATAAAATTACTCTTTACAAAAAAATAAAGAAAAAGAATGTTTAGTTGTAGATCATTACCCATGCCGTTTACACCGAAAAAATAAATTAGGAATGAGTTGGGTATGTGTAAAAGAAAAGACACATCGTTGTAAAAGAAATGTAAAGACAAATTTTCAATACGAAGTACTAAAGAAAACTGAACATTCCTGCGTGCCCAACATTGCTGAGATCGAAGTTAAAAGGATGTTAGAGACTTGCAGGAAAAGAGTCCGAGAAGAAACATCGGTTCCATTCCCCAGATATTTCAAGAACTTTCAGAATTATATCAGAAAGGTTATGATTTCGTTATTAAAATACTGACATACTCCAGTGCCAAGACTGTTTTATGTAAGGAGAGGAGAAAGGCTTTGGGAACTACTCCAAATGCCAACGACATTCAGTTTGCAAACGATACACTTATGCTTTTTAATGGAGAAAACTTTCTTCGTTAAGACTTTCAAAATGACCAAGATAACAGGATTTTAGTATTTAGAGGAGAAGAATCTCGGAACCTTTTTGAAAATGGAAAGACCTTTTTCTTATATGGAACATTTAAAAGTTGTCCGAAACAATTTGCTCAAAATATATACAATACACGTCGACTTAAGGAGTACAGCAACTGAGACGAACGTTTAGCCAGCGCTTTTTGCATTTCTGCCTGATAAGAGACAAGCAACTTACATTGCAATGTTTCAGGAAGTGAAACGTTGGTGCCCTAAGTGGAAGCCGGACATTATAAAATTGGATTTTGAAGCCGCAGCCATCAAGAGCTGTATGTTAGAATTTTCCGTTTCGACTATTTCCAGTTGTAACTTTCATTTTAATCAATGTGTGTGGCGTAAGATACAAGAAATGTGTCTAGTAAAGGAATATAAAGAGAACGAAGATATAAGAAATGTCTGTAGAATGATTTCTGCTTTAGTTTACTTGCCAACAGAACACAAAGATGATGCTTGGAGCATTGTATGGGAAAAAGCTTTTAACATTGACAACCTTACCACATTCATCGATTATTTTGTCGAGCAGTCATGGACAATCCAAATATGCCCATTAAGATATGGAATGTATATGGAGAGCGTGATAGGACAAATAATACAGTTGCAGGGTAGAATTCCAAATTAAATGCAATCACTGGCAGAAACCAGCCTAATGTGCACTTATGAGTTAAAATACTAAAAGAAGAAACACAAAAGTGTCTTTTAATTTGAAAGCCAGAAAATTAGGCGACCCTGGAATAAAAAGAAAAAAAGCATATGCAAAATTGGATGAAAGAATTGAAAACATCCTAAAAGCATTCGAAACATCAAACAATTTAGAAAAATGTCTAAAATCTTTAAATTTTGTAACTAAGTTGGACTAAATCCAATGATAAAAATGATATATATACCTTTAGATATCATATAGTTATTTGTCTTTCAGTATTAATCTTCTAACGCCGCTGTCTAGCAGCGTGTTGCCTTTGCCTGAAACAAAATGCATTCCTCTTCCAAACGCCAAAGTAATGCCATCAAGTAAAAACATTCAGTAAACCGTAACATATTTAATTTTTGAAGCGAATTTATCTCTTACTGAGTAATAAACCAAGCGATTTAAAAGCCAATATTATATACTTTTTTTTTTACTTTTTAATCTGTTTCAGTTAAATAAAAGTGCATTTAATCCATGGAATATATAATTAAATACATTAAATATTTTTATACCATTACATATTTTTTTTCTTTTTTCAAATGTATTTTTTCACGTTAATGTGTTGCTTCACTTTTCATTCAAGTCTGCTTCCATTCGTAAAAACGTAAAACATTCTTTCATATTTAACCTATGTGTTATTAATTAACAAACTAAACTATTTAAAATGTTCGATGGATCAATGGATGCACTTTTCAAGATTATTAGCCCAAAGAATGTTAGCCCTTAACGTCCGAACGTTCTAATTTCCGAATGCTTACATTCTATTAATTTCGTTTTGGCATTTTGCGTTGATTCACTATAAACGGCGAATCACTTTTTAAATTGTTGCCACCAAATATTAGAGCCCTATATTATAGTTAAAGGAATTAAATAATGAAGAATCTAAATATTGTATGCATGTTTCTCGCATTGTGATAAAACAACGATACGTAGAGCCATCAAATTTTGAATAACGTGAATCTCCACCCGAATATGGGCATCTGGAAGTCGGAATTTGGAATTTGTTTTATTACCTATTTCATATTTTGTAAAGCATTTATGAGTTTTTGATTAAGAAACTCAACGATTTCAAAGCTAGCCATGGCAACACTGCACTGAAAAAAAATTTCATCTCCAGTGCGAGATTGTGTATCGGTAATTCTAAAAACATGCTCTTTTAAAATTATTTTGTGATATTGCTGTTGAATTGAATTTAATGGTTTAAATGCGAAGAATATGCTATTTAATAGCTATAGGTAACGCATAAAACGTTAAAAAAAGCCCCATTGGGCTTAAATATAAAATCTGAAAACATTCAGTTTTTTTTTTTTTTTTTTTTTCAATTTTTTAAAAAAATTTTCAACCGGCTTGATTTTAATTAAAATGCATTTACTTAATGATTTATTTAATTAAAAACATTAAATATTTTTATAGAATTATATTACATATTTTGTCACTTTTTAAATACGCAGAAGATATATAACGTTTCCATATTAATTTAAATATCTGTTCAGCTAATATGCTATAAAACATTTCGCTCTTTTACCTGGGCCATCTCTATCGATAATCCTTACTGAAAAACCATATTAAACTTAAAAAGAGCCCTTTTGGGAGATCACTTTAAAATCTGAATCCTTTCACACTCTTTTTTAATTAATTAGCCCTGATCCGTACAATTATATCAGCTAGATTCATTAAAATCATTACATACTTTTTAGTGTTTTGTAATAATTATTTTTGCCAGCTGCGCTCACAAGTGGCTAGTGAGATAAATAGTAAAATAATAAAGTAAATAATACTAAAAAAGGCCAACTAGAACTGCTTTCATAATTGCTTTCTCCTCATTTTCAAAAAGAATACACTTAAAATTAAGTCCCGTTAATTAAATTTCATCCGAAGAGCAGAAATGAAAAACAAATTAAAGTGCTTACCAAAAGAAGAATTTTATCCACCATACTCCCGCTAGATATTCGCATCTGCCCTGACACTGACACGCGAGATATGTTTATATAGGGGTCGTCCAACTTTTTATCGTTAGAGCGTGACCCGAAATGCGCATGGTCGCAGCTTCTTTCTCCTTTTTTTTTTTTTTTCTGATTCCCCCCCTTCGTACAACTGTTATAAAAGGTCGAAAATCATCAGAAATAATATATTTTATTATAAACAGGGTAACTTTGTATATCTCTGTACCTTGTCCTTTGTCTACAGAAAAACACCTCCTGTAAACAAAGAACTGTTCAGTTTAATCAAGGTTTGAGATGTGTTTGAAAATGGAACTTGGGTTGGTATGCGTTTCAGAATGACAGCAAGGTTATATACAGAAAGCTAGTAAACATGACTTTTATTAAGGCCATCTCTGCTTGATTTCTCTAAGAATTGAGTGTATATTTTTTAAATCGAGCGCTAAATTAGCTAGTGGCTTAGCCGCGACTTAATTTCTAAAATAAAATACAAATGAAAAAATATATATGTATACAATGAGCTTTTATTTAGAATGGCTATAATTGTGAATGCACTAAAAGGAGAAAAATAATTATAATTTATCTCGTTTAATGGGAATAATAGATTAAATATTTCTACTGACAGAATTCATCTACAATTTTATGTCGCGACTAAACTAATATATCAATGTAACAAAAATATCCAACGAAATCTATTCATTTAATTTCATTGTCAAATGTTATAAACCATTATCTTTTTAAATGTTCTAGTAATTTAATTTAATATTCGAAAGCCATTGTTATTTTTTTAAATTTATCATGGGCGCTCCACACGTTTATTATTCGCTATATAAAATTGTAGATGGATTCTGTCATTAAAATAATTTAATTATTATTCCCAAACTGTGTCATAAATTATTTTTCTGTTTTTTAGGTCCCTGATGGCTATATCCATTTTAAATAAAAGCTATAAATATGTATATTGTAGAATAATCTTTTTAGCCCAAAGGAGCGTTAGCTCAGAAGAACTATTAATTTCGTTTTGGCATTTTGAGTTGAAAACAATTTTCAAATTGTTGCTACCAAATATTATTGCCTTGCTTTCTCTACATACGTGAGCTTACAATTATTGGAGCCGTTGTTCTTCATTGCTTCCTGCATAAATTTTTGAAGTGACAAATCGCATTATCCAGTATTTTGGGAGAAACATTATCAAAGCCCATGCTTACTGCTTCTGTGGCGACTCTTCTGCTAACAGGAATGTGTTTAAGTTTTCCTCTATAATCTTTGCATTTAATGTCCACAGTTTTGTGTTCTCAAAGAAGCAACATAAGTATAAAATTCACCTTAACTATTATTTTCGGAAACACGTATCCAGTTCTCGATTTTAATAATTCTGTTGCACTTAAACTGTTTTGCAGCTAACATAATTGCACCTTTCTAAAACTTTCCTTTGTTATTTTCTGCGTTAAGAACTGGACAATAGCAACGCAATCTTTACTTAAATACTCTCTCTCCTCTTCTTTTTTCCCCTTCTTACAATTTCATTTCGCAGTGGGTAGTGGTGTGGTGTATTTAATTATGGCAAAGCACACTAGGGCTATCTGCCTAAGGGGAAGGGATGCCTTCGTGGAGGATTTTCTGAGGGAAACTGGCTCGTATACACGTTACACATGGGGAAAACCACGAAAACACCCATGCAGCCAGCCCGTTCACAGGATTCGAACTTCAGACAGAACTACCAGTGTTTAGCGACTTTACCGCTCGGCCGCTGGTGGGCTCACAGTGGGTAGATATTCAACTGAAATAAAACGACTGAGTTTAGTCAGCGAATAAAATTAGAAAAATAGTTATAATTCTTATTAAGTTAACCCAAAAATTGAAAGATGCGTATGAACGAATGACGGATGTCATGAAACATTGATTTTGGCTGAGTTGCAGTTTTGCTCTACAACATAACTTACAGTTGCCGTCGCCAATAATTCCCGTTTAAATATTCACTTGTTACTGTTATTATGGAACAGAGGAGTACTTAGTTTCGTGTTATTTCGTTACAGGTACGCAATCAAAAATGGTTTCGATAACGCTGTTCTAGAAAATAAGTTAAGCCCTTGACATGTGAATGAGGGCTTTCCCCCCCCCTTAAAAGTCTTTGTGCCTGGTTTATTTCGAAAGTTTTCCACTATAAAAAGAATATCTTGCTGAAATTGTGGTCTAGTTACATAAAGGAAGTGCCGGAACTCTCTTATGTATGTCTGTGGCACTCAGCTAATATTAAAGATTTATCTCAGAAACTGAGAATTACCAGAGACGGATACCGGCGCTGTTTAGGCAATGGCTTTTCTTGATAGTATCCACTGCCACTATTTTTTTGAAAACTATTTAAATTATATCTTTGAGGAACATTGCAAATAACTGATGAAAGCATAAAATACAAAGAGCTGAACAAACTGATGAATTCAGTTTCGGTATTCCTTGCTCCTAAATAATGAAGAATCTGTACGTATGCATCTGTTTTTTTGTTTGCTTGTTTGTTTGTTCCGTGCATTGAGGAAAAGTGACAAAACCTAGAGCCACTAAATTTTGGACGCTAATAGTAGTCGACCAGAATATGTACACCGCAAACCTCGAATTTTGATTATCGTATTCGTGTATTATTAGCCCAAAGGGGGTATTATCTCGAAATGAGATTTTGCACTGGTTCGCCATAAACGACGTTCTACTTTTCAAATTGTGTCCACTAAATATGTGTTATTTTTAAAGAAATTAAATAACGAATAATCTACATGTATGTATGTATGTGCGTTCCTCGCATTATGGAAAAACGAAGGTAGCTAGAGTCATCCAATTTGGAATAACATAGTACCCCACCCAAATATGCACATCTGAAAGGCCGAATTTTGAATTTCGAATTTGTTTTTCATTTCAAATTTTGTAAAACTTTAATAAAGTTTCTATTAAAAACTCAATGATTTGAAAGTGAGCAATGGCAACACTGTTGGAACGAAACATTTTTATCTCCATCGCACGAGACTGTTTCCATTTGTAAAACGTAAGTTATTTATCTTCAGTTTTAAACAACAAACTTGGCTCTATCAAAGCAGTGATGCCGCAGCCAGAAAAAGAATATTTTTATCTTCGTGGTTCAGCGTGTTGCCATTCAGTAAAGCCTTAAGATATTTTCAGATTTAATACGGAAATTATTGAGTAATAAAGTAAACGAGTTAGCAATAAACACAGCTCTGAAGAATATTTGTTTTTAATGTAATTGATTTAAATAAAAAGGTGTTAAAATCGTGAGATGTCTAATTACAAATATTTAGTATTTTAATGACTTTAGCCGATTGGATTGGATTGGATTATCTAATTATAAGAAAGCACACGAGGGCTACCTGCCTAAAGGGAGGGATGCTTTCGTGGAGGACTTTCTAAGGGAAACTGTCTCGTATACACATTACACATGGGGAAAACCACGAAAACGCACATACAGCCAGCCCGTTCGCGGGATTCGAATCTCGGACCGAATTACCAGTGTTCAGTGTTTTTACCACTCGGCCGCTGGTGGGCGACTTTAGCCGAACTCACTGAAATCATTATTACACTTTTTTCTTTTATATGATAACTATTTTAGGCGGCCGGCCGCTCAAGTGGCTAGTTTTTAAAGAAATAATAAAGCGAGTATAAAAATATGTATGGCAACATCTAACACTCTGTCGGGAATTCTAAAGAATGCTGTTTTTAAATAGTTCATGATATTGCTATTGAATAGTATGTATCCTAAACGCGAAGCAAATGGTGTTTAATAATAAAGATAGAAAGAAAAAAAAGGGAGGCAAGGGCAGACTGCGAGCTCAGCAATAACGTAGAGAACCTTAATAAGCCCTTTTGGACGACTGTTAAAATCTGAAACCTTTCAGAATTTGTTTAATTACATTAAAACAGTTATTTTGAAATATGTATACATATGCAGTAAACCTCGAAGTACAGAAAAATCGAGTTCGTGTTAAAAATTTCGGGTTAACTGGGGACTCGAATGATATTTTTGGAATACTTTTTCTACACCATTTAACCATTTACAGCATAGTTACACAACTATTTCAATACATTATGTATGTTGCCATAGAAAACACTATAGTACTACATTAATTACTGTACTGTGACTTGAAGCAATGCGTTCACAGATCACCAACTTCGGCAATGGTATTCATAGCTTCCGCAAAACTAGTGGTCCATTCGGATATTGCAGAAAAACATTCTACAGTGTTCAAAGAGTGTAAGTTTTCTTGGCCGGTGGGTGGAATGATATTGCCCTGATGACATTTCCTGCACTCCTGACACATCCGCACACAACGTCGGACTCCACTGGAGCACACAAGGCAACATCATCATCTGTACTGACGAATTCCTCAAAACCCATCTTTAACGAAATGATCGAGCAATTTTACTTATGCTTATTATGTTTTAAAGGATACAGTGTAAGGTTTTTAATTAAACGAGACGCTAAATTTCTGAACTCAGTAGAGAAACAACAATAACTTTGAAAGTTCATGTTAAATGATAAAATCGAATTGCGTAACGGACCAAAAAGTAGTTGGTAATTCGTACTAAACGAAATCCGAATTAACCAGTAAAACTTCCTATAAGATCATATAGTACACTGCTGGCAGGACCGAAATTTTTTTCATGTTTACCGAGTGTTCAGCGATTTAATGTTAAGAAAGATTGACTGTATATATATACTGATTTTAAGAAATTCAGCTATAATGTAGTTTCGTTGGCCAAACTGAGTAATTAATAATAACGAAACGAATGTGTGTTTATTGCTTTTAAATCTCCAGAATGACAACACACTGCAGCGTGAAGACAAAAGTATTTTAATCTAGGCAATAGCAACACATTTCTTTTAAATCGGTGAGTTTGTTGATTAAATTCTAAAGACAAATATATTGCGTTTTTTATAACTACCAGTTTTCTGATTAAATTTGAAATATAAATAAAATATTTGAAAAACATAAAAAATATAAATAAAATATTGGA